TGGGGAAATCGGCGTTTCCTCGGTCTTGTCTTCCTTCTGGTTTGGTACCTCGTCCGCTCCTTTCCTTCACCATCAGAATTCTCGAGGGGGAAGCCCACGTTCGGCATCTCTGCTAAGACTCTGCACTGGCAAAGAGAAAGTGAGCCTCTTCGGGCTGGGCTCAGGCTCATCTGCCACCTTTCTGTCCTCGGCCATGAGCCTGGCTCACAGCAGAAGCTCCATTCGTCTTGTTCTAAATAGCATAACTGCTTTTTAAAAACTCTGCCACCGAGTGGACCCTTCCCCAGGCCTCACCTCACAACACTCAGCAATCAAATCGCTGCCTCCCTTGAAGGACACATTCATGGACTCCCAAGAGATAACGAGAATTGTTTTGTTTATTAAACAATTAAAATTTAAAACCTCTGATTATTTTAAATTGCCTGTATTTCGCCCAAGTCATTAGGAGCATCTATTCACCTCAGGGGGAATAATTAACTTTCAATCATCACATCAGTTATAACTGTATCACTCATGTATCTAATATGCCTTCAGAAATTAGGGAAATACAAAATTGGCTTTTATGAGTATACTAACATTTCACTAAATTGCAATGCTGTGGGGAAGGATAATTTACATTGGTGAAAAAAATAAATTTTTCAAAATCATGAAAACAATTATATTTTATTACTTTCAAATAGCATAAATTATTTGAAAAATTATTACAACTAGAAGCATAGATTTTTTTTCCTCAGCTTGGCCATGATGGTTAACCTGGCTAAGCCTCACAACCAGCTGTACCGGCCCTTCCGTTTGTATCACAGGTTTGATAACAGCCCACCTATCTCCATCCCTCATCGACAGGTGCTTTGCTGATGCTGATGGACCTATTAAAGTATTGGGTTCTTCCGCCGGACTGAAAGTTCCCTGCAGGCAGGTCACTTCTCGCTCACGTCTGTCGCTAGTGCTCAATACAGAGTGCTCAACAACAGATGAACGCATCCATAAACACATGAAGAGAATGTCAGAAACAAATAAGATTATGGATGTTCATTTGCAAACACCAACCATAAAAGTCCTATAAATGAAAAGTATTGAATATTCTTAAATATATATTGTACTTCCAAGTGCTTCTATATTCCAACAACCAGACAGAAGCCATTTATAAACAGCAACATCCATTTGGCCAATCCCAAGGGGCCGGCAACCCCTTTCCTTTCCATTTCTAAAACATCACCAACCAAAATGCAACAGTCTGAGATGAGGGTATGTTCTGCACATTTAACTATAGAAATCAAACTCTAATTCCAACTCTGCCACTGCTTGTCTCCGTTTGAATTCCATATCTGCCTGCCTGCCCGTGGGATTCAGGAAGCAGCAATGGGCATGTGGAGGAGTCGGCAGGACTGTAACCCGCACGGGACGCCCTCGAGCTGACGAGTACCATTGTTACACAGTGATGCCTGGAATGAACCCTTCCTCCAGGGGTGCTCCTGGGAGGGGGTGGGGGACCAGGCTGGCAATGCTCCCCTTCAACTCCCAAAGTCACACAGAGCAGCCTCACCTGTCTGTATTTTCTAAATGTTTCCAAGAAAGATTTCATTGGAAGGAAGAATCTGTGGCCAAAAATAAAGCTTGAGAACCACTGTTTTAAATAAATCCAAAGAGGTGCAGAGGACAGAACCACCATTTATTGAGCACTTAATATATGCGGGGTAATTTTAAAACATGATAACCATTTCCTTTAACCCCCACCACATCTTTGTGAGATAGAGAATAGTTATCCCGTTTTAGAGAAGGACAAAATGAGGTTCAGAGAAGAGAAATCTCATCACCAGCAAGAGCCAAGAGCGATGATGTGATTTCAAAGCCACACTGTTTTACCGTCCATCTCTAGAAATCCTTGTCACTTCTCACCTTCTCTCTCCATGCACGCCCCCTTATAGTATAAGCCTGCTCTCGGTCATTTACACTCATAGATTAATTAACTCGATCCCATTTGGTGTGAATGAACCTTTGTCAATTTGTTACTTCCTAACAATATTCATTCATTACAGAATCATTGATGGAGCATCTAGTGGATGCTTGGTACTGGGCAAGGTCCTGGGGACACAGGCCACCAAGGCATTGCCTCTATCAGCGAGTACTCACAAACTAGTGGGGAGAAATACAGAAACCAATAAATAGGTATATTAAAAATGGTGCCACAGATGCCTGTACTAGGAAGAGCTTGGGGACAGAGGTCATGGGGAGAGGGAAAGACAGACAGCTACTGTCTTCTCTACCATCAGTATTTGGCGGTATCTCTTGCTGACATGTCTTCTGGTCATACTGGAACAGATCCCACTGCCTCCAGCATTATTCACGTTTCTGGGAGAAAGGGCTCAGATACCAAAATGTATCCTTGTCCCATTTCCCCTTCAGTCCTTAGAGCAGACAGTCCTATTCCAGGAGGTAAGACACACTGAAACTCAGCAGATTTCTTTTCATTGTCCTTGAAGAATAATTTGACTTGAAATACATTTAGACATAAAAAAAAAGACCCTGAGTCTTCAAAGCAATTCTACCCCTTGCCTTCCCGCTTCGATGTTCCTGTCCGAGACTTAAGTCAAAGGAAGACACCGTTCTACTGCAATTTCTAGTTCACCCCAAACCCTCTGTGTTGCTGGCTGAAATGGAATGTGAGTGTTACTCCCCTCCTGCTCTTTCTTTCTAATCCAATAATAGTCCCCTACCGGGCCTCTAATGGCGGTGCTTAGACAGAGAGCGTCCAGGCATGAGGCGGAACCCCTGCTGTCATCCCCACGGGGAAGCTCAAGTCAGTCTTTCCTTCCAAGCCTCCATTTTCCTTGAGCAATTCTACTTTTTTTTTCCCAAAAGACTTGCCTTTCAGAATCTAAACAGTGAAAACAATTGTCACGGTAATAAGCCTCTGATTACAGCAAAATGCATGCCACAGAGCAACCCCAGGCCTACAGGAACACACCCGTGAGTGCTACTGAGAGGCAAAGCAAACACAGCGCGATCCACAAGAGAGCACAGATGCACAAGCAAGTGTTGTCAAAATGCACGAGTCACCCCAGCTCCAGAAATTTATTTGAAGGAAATAATTCACAGGAAGAAAGAAGTATGAAAATGCTTTCTTGCATATGATACGTGATAGTAGAAAATTGAGATGGTGATGGAGGCACGGCTGAGTAAATTATGGGCTATTAAAAATGATCATTACGAAGTCTGAGTAACAGGACAAAAAACGTTATGGATACCTTTTTAAGTTAAAAATAACAAAACTGCATATGTAATATGACTGCAAAGACGTAAAAAATTATGTTTGCCTAAGGATAGAGGAATCATGGGTAATGTTTAAAAATGTTGCTAGACGTTATAATACTGTCTTTACAATAAAACAGTACTCAGAGGAAAATGGATGATAAGTCATTGCCTGATAATTGTCAAGATGTAAGCAAAGTCCCCTTTACAGTGACAATGACAGGCACTTAAATGTGAGCGCAGATGTCAGGTTCCCTTCTCTTATCCCAGTTTATTTATTAATGTTGACCTTTCCAGGAATTAAAATTAATCTAATCAACAAATTACAGACAGATTGTACACGACTGCCACAGACAATCAGTAAATACTGAAAGGTGCCAAGACGGGAATGTGAGAGCGCGGTACAATCGGGACAGGGAGGGGAGGCAGGGCAGAGGGGTCTTAGCTGACTAGGTCCACAGTCTGTTTCCTAAGGTCACAGTGTGCGGCACTTGGGCTCGTGGCCTCTCAGTGTAGACAGATGTTAGAGAAACTTGGAAATCTCTTGTTTCAACTCAGACCCTGCAGACCCTCCTAGGCCTTGCCCAGTCCCCAACCTCTGCCTGCTTGCTGTCCACACCGCAGGAGCCACAGGACAATCCCACAGATACAGCCCTGCCTCTGTCTCCACAACCAGCCCTGGGCAGAGGTGGAGAGTTTTTGTTTTCTTTTGTTTTCGCATATATATTTTTTCATTCATTGTAGCAAAATATACATAACATAAAATGCATCATTTTTAAGTGTACAGTTCAGTGGCATTTAGTGTATTCACATTGTTGGGCAACCATCACCTCCATCCATCCCCAGAACTTCTCATCCTCCCAAACTGAAACCACACCCACTAAACACTACCCTCCCCCTCCCCAGGCCCTGACAGCCCCCCTTCCGCTTTCTGCTCTATGACTCTGACTACTCTGGGGACCTCACGTAAGGGGACTCAAACAGTGTTTGTCCTTTGTGTCTGACATTGCACTTAGCGTAATGTCCCCAAGGGTCATCCAGGGTGAAGCATGTATCAGAACTTCCTTCCTTTCTAAGGCTGAATACATTCCATCGTATGCACATACCATGAGACGGAGAGTTTTAATCGGCTGCAGCCCACCTCTCTTGGGACGACTATCAGGTCATCTTGTTACTGATCCAGCCTTGACTCCAAGCTCAGTTCTGAGAAATGGGTTTCCATCTCCTTCTCAGGCCTCACACTGGCTCATTCTCCACTTCTACAACTTCTCTAGTCGACCTTTATTTGGGAACCTGCCTAGACTTCCAGCCCTTCTTCCCAGAGTCTGGAAGATTCATACTTTCTACCCCAGGACAGTGGCTGGGGCCTGTCACCTGTTGCTCACTGCTTGTCCAGAGCTCCTACCTCTGGTGTTCAGTCCACCAGTCAGGGCACCAATAACTCACCAAGGATCCAAGATGGCAGCCCCCTACCTAAACTGCACTGTTTTGACTGCACCTTTGTCAGCCTAACCTGCCTGGTGGATCCCTCTCTCTGTTCCCACACAAGGAAAGGGCATTGTTCCAAGAGATGCACCTTCCCAGTGGGACTTGCGTCACAGCAAGCCCAGAATCCTGTCTACATTCCAATTTTCTCCCCTCTACTGCCAATCACCAGATACCTCTCTGCAACTTTCCTGTCTCTGTCCAAACCCTAGAACATTAGACCCAAAGCACGGAGTCTAGAAAAGCACCGATCCAGCCACACTTACAGCCAGAGTGAGTTCCTTCCTTGAGTGATGACACCAGTGAATTTGGTCAAACGTCTGGCATCCACTTCAATCCACTGATGGAGGTCATTCCGTCCCGCGCACCACGCCCCATCGTAAAAGTCGTTTTCATTAATACCCGCCTGGAAAGAAAGAGAAATGTTCTTCAGAAAGACCCAGAATCGAAGAAAATTACGACAAGTTTTTTCATGAGACAGAGAGGAAGGGAGCAGGGGATAGAAGAGAATGAGGAAGAGGATAGAGAAAAAAACAAAAATCATTATGCCCTGAACTCCTTACTCTAAATCATAAAAGGAGTTGCTTATTATTAACACGTTGGAAATATCTCAATATGATACGTCCTCTTCTTGCCCAGTGTGAAAGATGAAATTAATGAGTTCTGCTATTACTCATTCACCCAGCACACACAGACCCCCTCCTACGTATCAGCCTACACACACCAGGTGCTGGGGATATGAAGGTGAATCGTTCCCTCTCAGAACCTCACCATCCAGGCAAGAAGAAAGAGATGAAAATAGATGAATTAGAACACAATGGGGCATGTGCTATTTCAGGAATAGGAGCAAACCGTTAGGGGAGCATTTAAGGTTAGTACAGCTAATGTCATCTGGAGGCACCAGGGACAGAAAGCCCCAAGGCAAAGGTGATATTTGAGGTGGGTGTTGAAGGGCAAGTTCACCTAGTGAATATTTATTTATTAGCATTTAAGTCATTTGATGTGTTGAGTATCAGCTGCTATTGCTACCAAAGATTCTTTTGATCTGAATTTACAACGTAGGTGAAGTTTCTGCTCTGGAATGTTCCCTATATTATCACCATTTGAAGAGAGAATTCCCTGACCTTTAAAAAAAAAGAAGAAAAAGGAGAACATTTGAACCAAATGAAGCTTCCTAATTTACTAAGACACTTTCTACATTAATCTCATTTTTCCACGGCTATTTCACAAGTACATGGTCAGATGAGAATAAGTCTAAATGATAGTTGAAAGATAAAAATGATGGGCCAGCCTATCTTCTCTAACTCTGAGGAGTTTTCAGCTCAAATTCTGGGACAGCCTTACTTCTAATGGCCAACGGTGATGTGAAACTCAGAGTCCAGCTACAGCAGAGGAACAACCTGGCCAAGGGTTCCATTAGCAAACTCTATCCATCACTGCACCAGCTAACACAGCCTTGTATCAGGACCAAACCACCATACGTGCATTCCCAATCTACTCTTGAAACAAGCTTGAAGGAGCTCTAAGGGCAAATGTCAGAATACTAACATATCGTGGTCCTCTACAAGCACTGCTATCTCAAATGAGGGTGGACAAGAAAGCTACGAGTCAGCACTCTCCAGAAACCCAAGCTCTTAATTAACCAGCACCACAGGGTCTGAGGGCATACAGGGTGTCTGTAATAAGGACCTCGAGGTGCTGCAAGGTCCTGCCTTCTAGAACCATCAAAGAAAGGCTGAATTTTCCAAGTGTGTATGATGGGTCCTTCACTGTGCTTCAGCGCATTTTGTTAAAGTAATGGTGACTCTATTAAGCATGATCTCTTATTTCCCAACGCTGCCAGTCGACAGGGAGATCACTGTCCCAGCCCGACGACTGTAATTACACAATCACTCCCTCCCGTCATCGAAGGCCCTTGTCCCCCCACGACAGGGACCCGCAGCACATTACTGACTTACACTATCACAACTCATTTCTTTCCAGAAACTAGAATATGCACTTCGTTTTTGTTGTGGTTCCTCTTTTCTTGTAAACTGCTGTTTAGAATAGTTCCATCCACTTATTAAAACTAACCTTCACCAGGCCTCTGTATGTGCCAAGTATGGCCCAGGCAAGAAGCAAGTGAAGGCAGAAAACGTGTGCAGCCCTGCCCTCCTGGAGCTCAGAATGGACAGACAGACTGAAGTCCACACACTGCGCTTAGGCCTTAGTCTTGGCATCTTAAAATCCACCACTGCACCAAACGCTGGTTAAGAGCTCGTGCACTGACATCCCCGTGCTTGAGTGTGAATCCCGGCTCTGCCACTTATACATTCTATAAACCCAGGCAATTTGCCTAAGGGCTCTGTGCCTCAGTTTCCCATGCATTAAAAGGAGGACAATGATCATTTCTCCCATAGGGTGTTGATTGTGTTTCTAACAGGGCCTGGTACATAGCGTGGGTTCAAAAAGAAATAAGCACTCAATAAATGTTAGCTATCAGTATATTTAAAACAATGAATATTTGGCAAATTATGAAATATGGGTGCTTTACAAATTATTTCAAATTTTAAAAAATTCTAGAAAATCACAATATTATTCCAGGTAATAGCTGTCAAATTTTCTACAATTCAAATATCCAGAATAGAGTTACAAAATCTGAAAAAAGAGGAGACCCATGAGTCTAAAGTTCTCAACAGCATGTTGCCCCTCAGGGAATCATTTTTGTCTGTCACACTGGAGGAGGTGTGTGCCAGTGGCAACTAACAGATAGAGGCCAGGGATGTTGCTAAACATTCTACAATGCACAGCACAGCAGCCACCACAAAGAATTACTTGACCCAAAATGTCAGTTGTGCCAAGGCTGAGAGTGCCTGGTCATGCGCCAGGCCCACAAGAACGGAGCTGCCACACAGCCCAGGGTCTTACCATTATAGGATCACGGAAGCTTGGAGGAGCTATCCTCATGCCATTGAACCAAAGTCTACTGATGGGGATTTGGAAGTAAATTTTAGGGGCCTAGTTTCGCCAGCCTGGATATTTTGCTTCTGCTGCTAATCTCAGTTCTTTCTGAGCACACAAGACAGTCAGTTAAATGTGGTAGGGTGTCAAGGGACTGGAGAGTCCTTCCTGAAGCTGACTCATGGTGGAAATGACAGCCACCTCTGCAAAACTGATTATGAATTTATAGAGCAAGTGCCTGGGAGAATTCAGTAAAAAAGGAGGTACCAGCCCCAGAGATGTCACCAAATTACACTACAGTGCAATAAATTATATTCATACAACATCTCTGTGAACCAAGAAAAGGGTACATTGATCCCTTGCTGCTTAATAATGCAATAAAATACTTGATAAATTTTGGAGAAATTTCAATCAGAAGTTGTTGAAATAAAAGGTTTGATTCTTTAAAGTATATGCTAGTCTTGAAAACGCCACTACCATGGAATGATTATTTGTACTATGGCCCCAAATAAATTGAGAATTAATGTGATTTTCTCAAGGCAATTAAGTTGTATGCATCATTTATTGCAAAGAAAACCACCAATGCATCTATCAGACTATTTTGCTTAAGATAAATGTGGTAATTATTAAATCCATAACAAAGAGAAAACCTAATACTATTCATTTAAGATCAATTAAAGAAGATTTTTCTGTTTCGAGATGATGGAGTTAGTATATTGGTTTTACCATGTTCTTCTCTCAAAAATTCTCCCCAAACAAAGAAAACAAGAAATACAACCTGGATCTCTGATAAAGCTAGGACACATTTATAATCCCCAAACTACAATATAAGAGGACAGGAATCGGATGGCAGAATCTGAGTGACTCAGTCAGAGAAAAACACGCAGACTTCCCAGCGGCACACCAGCGAGGAGACAGCCACAGAACCTGAAGCCGCTCAGAGGTAGGTTCTCAGGTATTGCGGAAGGTGAGAGGCAAGCAGGACTGAAAACAGGGAACTGATTCAAAATGTGTATTTAAAAAATCAGATTCCCACATCCTCACCCCCACTCCACAGAAGGCCTGAAATTTTTCTCTAAAAACAAAAACCACAGAGGCTCCTGATTTGGGGATCCCAGACACAGAGGAGGGCATATGTGATGTGACAGATGAAAAGAGGGAACTCAGTGAGACATCAGCACACACTGAAGAGCGAGGGGCCCCAGCGCCCTTCCTCCACCCAACTCTACAACACAATGTAGCCAGGCTTACAGCGAACACACAAAACAAGCAAACTAAACATATCATGGAGAACAGAAGAAAATCTCAGAGGAGCTATAATAAGATTGCTTGAAAGAGATCTTGCTTATATTATAGGAAACAAGAATTGGATATTCTTAGAGGAAAAAATATTGAACAAGAAAGAGCTCTAGGAATGCGAAAATTCCACTAACAGTAGATAATAAGAGAAAAATAAGAAGAGCAGAGGAAGAAATCCAGAAGATTTTTAGGGGAAGAAATTACAAAAAAAAAAAAGATAATGTCCCAGATCTATAAAGCTTAAGTCTCTAAAACACTAAAGATCTAGTACGATGAATAAAATAAGACACACACCAAAGCATAGCATTGTGAACCTCAAAACACCAGAAATAAAGAGAAGATTCTAAAAGCTACCAACGAGGAAACAGATAATAAAACAAATGTGTAAAAACAAAGAAAAAGGAGTAAGAATGGCAGCAGGATCCTCCACAGCAACATCCGAAGCTGAAGAACGGAGGGGATGCCTTCCAAGTGATGGAGGAAAAGATTTTTAATTCTAGAATTTTATACTCAAACTACCAATCAATTCTGATGGTAAAAAAAAAAAGACATTTTTAGATTCACAGATCCTCAAAGAATTTCTCTCTCATGCACCCTTTCCACGAAGCTGCTAGAGGATATGCTCCACAAAAATAAGCCAGAACACCACAAAGATGAAGATATCAGGTCCAGAAATGAAGGGCTCCAACATAGGAGAGAATTCTCAGAACGGCAGCAGGAAGTCCCGAGAGAGTAGCTATGTAGAAGACCCAGAAAGCAACCCATTCAGCCTACAACAGGTCAAAGGGCTCCATGTCTGCAGAAACAAAAAAACAAAAGTGAGACTGAAAGCCTTTGAACAGGTTTGACCTTACAGAAAATTACAGTCACGCACCACGTCACAGTGTTTCAGTCAACAACAGACCGCACATACAACAGCGGTCCCAGAAGATTAGTACCATAGAGCCCAGGTGTGTAGTGGGCTATACCATCCGGGTTTGTGTAAGTGCACTCTATGAGATTCATACAATGATGAAATCACCTAACGGAACATTTCTTAGAACGTATCCTGGTTGTTAAGCAATGTATGACTGTACACAGAAAGGTATTTCAAAGACTCAGACGTATTGCAGGGTATGGGGAGATGATTTCTAAAATACAAGCAGACCTAGGAAAACAAAAAGTTGT